TTATTAACTGATTTCACTGATTTATTAACGTCCAGGCGAATCGGCTGTAGCTAGATTTTGGAAATTTTGCATGTGGAGAGTCTTTGACGTTATGTAGGATAGACAAAATAATCGTTTTTCGACGAAATTCTAACAAGACGTGTACCAAAAGTACAAAAATGCACTAAAATCCCTAGCATTTGGAATTTTGTTAACGAAAAGTGGGCAAATTTTTGAAATTTGGTATGAAAATCATTTTTTGAAACTTGGGTTGATAATTGTACGATATGTACTAAATGGTACTGAATTTGGTCCTAGTTGAAGGGATGGATATAAAGTTCTGAAATTTGATATTTAGATTACTTATGCCATCTGTATTTGAGATTTGTCGGTAGTTTGAAGATGCTTCATTTATTTGTACGGAAAGTACTAAATGGTACTAAAATTGGTATTAGGTGAAGTAATAGGGCTGGAATCATCAAATTTGATATTAACGTCTCTGTTGGTATCTGGAATTGAACTGTGGAGGTGGTTTAAGAAAATTGTGCTATAATTTTACGAAAAATACTAAATGTTACTAAATTTGGTAGTGAGTTAATGTATAGAGCTAGAATCCCGAAATTTCATATTGAGTTCTCTGTTGGTGTCTGGTGTTGAGATGTGGTCGTGGTTTTTGCAAATAATTGTATGAAAAATACTAAATAGAACTACAACAGTGATCCGTTGGTATTTAGAATGGAGAGACATATATTGTTTTGGATATACGTACTAAATGGTACTAAATTAAGTATTGGGTAAAGGGATAGGGATACAATTCTTAAACTTAATATTGAAAACTCTGCTGAAATCTGCAATTGATATATGGTGATGGTTTTGAAAATTTGTAATATGACAATGTCCAACACAAACTATAATAATGGGGAAATGCAGCAGATTATGAAAGTAGAGTTAAAAAAAGAATACACGAGTATTGGCGTTTTGAAAGGAATTTTTTAGTAATATTTCGAGAAGAAAAAAAAAAATATTTCGAAAGGAGGTCCAAAAAGACCCTTTTTGCTGACTTGTTTGAGCATTTTGGTGAGAATTTTCCAGAAAAAGTTATTCGAAATGGAATTCAAGCGATAGTGCGATTTTTTTATATTTGGCTGGAAAACCACAAGTGGATATCGTTAGAGCACTCCAGCATTTAAATGTGAATAAATCTTTTGTGTCTCGTGTCATCGCCCGTTACCGTGATACTGGTAGCGTAGGCCGATGTCAAGGAAGTGGACGGAAGAAAACAGCAACATCACCAGAAATGGTTCGAAAAGTAAAGAAGCGACTTGATCGTAACCCACGTCGCATTGACCGAAAAATGGCTCGTGAGCTGAACATATCGCAATATTAAATTCGGCCAATATTGAAAAATGAGCTCGGGATAAAGCCATTGAAATTTCAACAAGTACAAGAACTTACACCGCAACGGAAAGAAAATAGACTCAAAAGAGCTAAAAAGTTGCTTCACTTGGCCGAAAGTGGTGAACTGCCGAATTTGGGTTTCTCAGATGAGAAAACATTCGTTGTCCAGCAGTTTGTAAACAAACAAAATTATCGTGTTAACTTGCCAAAGAGGTCAGCTGAAAATGTGCACCTTCGGTTGACCTTAAGTTCTGGTGGTCAACCGGCCATGGTGATGGTGTGGGACGCCCTAACAGCCGATGGTCGTTGCATCAGAATAAATGTCGAATATTATCGCGAAAATATTCTGGAGGGTGTATTAAAGCCTTGAGCACGCAAACATTTTGGCCGCAGACCTTGGACATTCCAACAGGACTCATCACCATCGCATTCAACACGCGACACCCAAGAATGGTTACAAAATAAGGCTCCTCGCTTCATTTCCAGCGCATAATGGCCACCAGCGCACAATGGCCACCAAAAATCTCTGGATATCAATCCGTTGTGTCTGGAGTATTTTGGAAAGTAAGGTTGGCACTAAAAAATACCAAAGTGTCGATCACCTCAAACAAGTGCTTCGCCGGGAATGGGCCATAATACCGCAGAGCAACATTCGGGCAGCGTGTGACGGTTTCATTGGCGGTTTGAAGGGCATAACTCGTGCCAAAGGTGACCAATTCGAACAAATCTAAACTTTTTCTAAAATTTGTTGCGATTTCCGACATTTTTTGCTTTCATTCAATAAAATTAAAAAAAATTGTAAAAATTTTGGCGTTTGACTTTGTTGCAGTTTTTTATATCCCACCCTGTATACATAGATTAAACGGATTCCAAGGAGCCTTATGGAAAAATATTAAAAAATGTATAAAATAGGAGAGAATCTGCTCTCTATATTAAAATTACTTTGGGACCTAAATTTTCAAAACGCCGATACACATGTTTTCTTGTTCCACATCAAACTTCATCATCTGCTGGATTCCCTGTAATTATTGAAAAAATGAACTTTGTCACACAGTTTAACTGTTATTTTGTCGAGGATGATTGGTATTGAAATTCTCCATACCTCTCGATATTTTGGCATTTTGAAGATTCAATTTTAATTTAATATTTTGTTAAGATTTAGATATAGTAGAATTTTTTTTAGGAGCTGTATGCCCCTATTATGGCTCCTTCTGATTCTCGTCATTTAAAACATTTCTGTCTTAAATAGTGGCATTGACCATTTAAAGGTATTTTTAGGGTCATGGTCACATTTTCTAGCCGAAGTGGCTGTAGTTGACATTTTCAAATCTGAATGAGTCGAATCAAAAAAAAAAAAAAAAAAATCATAAAAGCTCAATACAGGTCGCTAATAACAGTAGACCCCCCATCATAGGTATTTTCCGCACTTTTGTGCACCAAATAAAATACCTATGAATATATCAAATCTGTTTGACAACCAAATTTGCCACAAAATAAAGTCTGTTCCGCGACGACAAAAAGGTGGATGAAACTCTGTCAACAGAAAGTCAAGTATTTATGAGGTAGTACAAAAAGTTCTTCCAAATCCACAAGAATGAAAGTTTCCACAAACTATGTGCAATCAAAACTCCATGACTTGGATACAAAAATGTCATTATGATATTATGGAATTTGTGTTTCTATTCACATTTAAATTTTGTTTTTTTTTTTTTTTTCTCCTACTTTTCCATTCTCTATATCAAACGTAATCGCTGTGTTGCCAAACACAAATAGATTGGGAGCACACTGAGCAATCAAATGTAAATGGATTTGAACTCATTATATTGATAAAATGCAAGAACTGAACACAAAACCAACAACAACAGCAACAAAACAACCTCCGAACAGAAAATCATATGGTCAAGGTTTGATATTGAATTGCATTGCATTGCAAATTCAAGCGAATTTTAATTATGCAATTGTATATTATTAAAAAACGAAGTGTGCAGGGCTTAGCAAGGATTTGTGCACAAATTGAATAATTGAATACAAATAATATGGGGAAAATTATAATATATGAAACTACTTTTTTTTTGCAATGGCTTAGATGGAGGATGTGGGGAAATTAATTTCATATTTTTTTCGATTTAATTTATAATTTTTCAACTACATTTTCTGGAGTGGAGTGTGAAGTAACTGTGGTGGGAGACATCATTTGGATAAAATGTTTAGCATATTTTATTCAATTGATTGTTTAGTTATATAACATGGTTGGAAAGTATAGTACGATCAATATGACGATATTTTTTTATCTTCCACCACACATTCTGTGAAACCCGCGTCGAAGTGGCCACAAAATGGTTTGTGAGCTGAACATATCGCAATATTCCATTCGGCAAATATTGAAAAATGAGCTCCGGGTAAAATCATTGAACTTCCAAAAAATGCAAGAACTTACACCGCAACAGAAAGAAAATAGACTCAAAAGAGCTAAAGAATTGCTTCGAAAGTGGTGAACTGCCGAATTTTGTTTTCTCCGATGAGAAAACATTCGTTGTCCAGCAGTTTGTAAACAAACACTTGCCAAAGAGGTTAGCTGAAAATGTGCACATTCGGTTGGTCACCAGAACTCATGGTGAAGGTGTAGGCCGCCATAACAGCCGATGGTCGCTCTCCGCTTATATTAACGACCGTGACATCAGAATAAATGGAGAAGATTATTGCGAAAATATTCTGGGGGGTATGTTAAAGCCTTGGGCACATTTTGGCCGCTGACCTTGGACATTCCAACAGGACTCAGCACCATCGCACTTAGCACGCGCCACCCAAGAATGGTTAAAAAATGAGGTTCCTCGCTTCATATCCAACACACAATGGCCACCAAAATCTCCGGATACGAATCCGTTGGACTATTGGGCCTGCAGTATTTTGGAAAGCAAAGTTGACACTAAAATATACCAAAGTGTCGATCACCTTAAGCAAGCGCTTCGCCGGGAATGGGCCAAAATATCGCAGAGCAACATTCGGGCAGCGTGTGACGGTTTCATTGGCCGTTTGAAGGTCATAATTCGTGCCGAAGGTGACCGGTTCGAACAAATCTAATTTTTTTCTAAAATTTTATGCTATTTCCGACATTTTTGCTTTCATTCAATAACATTAAAAAAAAAAAAATGTAAAAATTATGGAGTTTGACTTTGTTGCAGTTTTTTTTCATCTCACCCTGCATTCTTGATCCTACGGAAATGTTTACAATCCATTTTGGTTAATTGCAACACTTAAATTCAATATTAAACTAAAGCTCTTTTGAAACATAAATTCTGCTTAAACAGCTTAAAAAAAAAAATTCCAGTCCCCCCTCCTTTCCCTCTCCACTGGTTACAGTTCAGTCGACCCCCACCCCACCCCTGATATTTAAAATCAAACTTTTTCAAACGATAGATAAATCTATTTGCCATATTTCCACTTCACTAAGCACATTTGTTCGGAAAATGCCATTGACATGATTTGTATTGCAAAGTAGATGTGATTATCATAATTTTTGCATGCGAAGCAAAGTAATAACAAATTTTGTGATAAAAATATATATCTCTCCCTGCCTGACCATGGTAAAAATAATGGAATGGAAAACAAAAACTAAAACTCACCACAACCAATGGTTTCGTCGGAACCATCATCACAATCCGGTTTGGAGTCACATTTCCAGCGCATTGGTATGCATTTGCCATCGTTGCATGTGTAATAAGATGGTGCACAAGTTTCTGAAAAATAAAAATAGCGAGAGGAAAAAATTAAATAAATAAAACCACATAAATGGTATATGCACTGAGAAAAAAATGTTCCTAAATGTGGAAAATTAGGAGGATACAGGAAGTCTGTAGGTTTCACTGAAAAAATTTACCCTTAGTCAATGGACATTTTTTATGAAAACATAGCAGTAAAGCCTCCCCAATTTAATGGAAAATCCATTCTCCAAAATTCAAGGTCTTTGAAAAATAAATATATTTTTTTAATCCACGATTTATATAGACGGGAAGTAATTGATTTTTTTTAAACTAATATGACCGAAAAGTTTATGATTTTTTCCGAAAATCCTTTGTTTGTGTATGAAAAATAATTTTTTTTAAATTAACCATATGCATAGTTGAAATGTACTTGGCAAAAAAAAAAAATTAAAAATCCACAATTTGTGGAAAATTCACAGTTTTTTTTTTACAAATTCCATATGTCAGGCATCTCATAAAAAATGGTCGATCCTTGACCTGGTAGTCTTTGAATAATTAGTCTTTTAAAAAAGAGCACATGATCAATGATTTTCATATGCTGGATGTTCTAAAAAATGTTTTACAAAATTTGCAAATTTTGGTAAATAATACAAAAATATGATAAACATATCGATTTTTGTCCTGACAGTCCTTGAAAAAATATTTTTGTTTAAAAACCTCAGTACCTAGTTAGCATTTGCCATACATATTAGTCCCTAAATTTATATAGCCAGGAATACCTTTCAAAAATATTTTTAAAGTTATATGGGAGGGAAAGCATTGAAAAATATATACAAAACAAGTAAGCAAAGGTTATAGTTGTGCGGGCCCGACCATGTGATACCCTGCGATAAAAAATATGAAAAATAAAGAATCTATCATCATTATTGACATCTTTTTTTGCGATTTTTTAGATTTTATTCTTTTATGCCAAGAGGGCATTCTGAATTGACAAAATTTGTCAAAATTGGTCCAGCCATTCTTGAGATATAAGTATTCTAGGTAACATCCTCTTCCTTTGTATATATACATTGTATATATATCGCTATATAAATCCGATATATTTACTATCGGCATCTACGCAACGGTTAGGATTGACCTGTTCGTCTATTTGTAATTTCGCCGGGATTAAAAATATTCGCGGTTTAATGGCAAATTTGACTTTTATTTAACACAAATGTTATGGTCTATTTCACCCACTAAATATTACCCGATGACCATTAAAACTGGAAGGCTTCTGCCCAGCCCTAAGCTCTAGCCACATGCTAACTTCCGCTTCGATTGGTCTATATTTGCGACCTGTAGAGCAACTGCAAAATCATGAAATTTTTCAGTTTTTGGTCCATTTCAACCCCTACATATTATGCGATCATCTCCAAAAGAAATAGGCTGGCTCTAGCCCGACCTCCATTCTAAATTTCGTAAAGATCGGGTCATATCTGCGACCTGTAGAGTGATTACAAATTAACATGGACAGACGGACGGACGGATATACATAGGTAGATCAACTCAGCTCGGCGAGATAGGAAGATCCATATAGACTTTCCTATATGGGAAACCAATATTTCGAGGTGTTACATAATTTTTGGACCAATCAAACTTATAATACCCCCAACATATAGTGTTGTAGGGTATAAAAATACCTTTGCCAAATTTTATCAAGATCGGTTCAAAGTGGATATACAGGGTGATATAAGAAAACTGCAACAAATTCAAACGCCATAATTTTTACATTTTTTTAAATTATATTGAATGAAAGCAAAAACTGTCGGATATAGCAACAAATTTTAGAATAAGTTTAGATTTGTTTGAATTGGTCACCTTTGGCACGAATTATGGCCTTCAGACTGGCAAAGAAACCATCACACGCTGCTCGAATGCTGCTCTGCGGTATTTTGGCACATTCCCGGCGAAGCGCTTGCTTGAGGTGATCGACACTTTGGTAGTTTTTAGTGCCAACATTGGTCTCCAAAATACTCCAGGAGGATACCAACGGATTGGTATGCGGAAATTTTGGTGGCTCGAAATGAAGCGAGGAAGCTCATTTTGTAATCATTCTGAAGTGGCGCGTGCTGAGTGCCATAGTGCTGAGTCCTGTTGGAGTGTCCAAGGTCTGTAGCCAAAATGTTTGCGTGCCCAAGGCTTTAAATCACCTTCCAGAATATTTTTGCGATAATATTCGGCATTTTTTTTTTTTTTTTGAATGAAAGCACAAAATGTCGGAAATAGCATCAAATTTTAGAATAAGTTTAGATTTGTTCGAATTGGTCACTTTTGGCACGAATTATGGCCTTAAGATGGTCAATGAAACCTCACACGCTGCCCTAATGTTGCTCTGCGGTATTTTGGCCCATTCCCGGCGAAGCGCTTTTTTAAGTGCCAACCTTGCTTTCCAAATTACTTCAGACAGAATAGTCCAACGGATTGGTATCCAGAGATTTTGGTGCCAATTGTGAGCTGGAAATGAAGCGAGGAACCCCATTTTGTAACCATTCTTGGGTGGTGCGTGCTAAGTGCGATGGTGCTGAGTGCTGTTGGAATGTACAAGGTCTGCGGCCAAAAATGTTTGCATGCTCAAGGCTTTAATACAACCTCCAGAAAAATTTCCGCGATAATATTCGGCATTTATTCTGATGCCACGGTCGATTAATACGAGCGGAGAGCGATTATCGGCTGTTATGGCGGCCCACACTATCACCATGGCCGGCACTTGAGATCTGGTGGCCAACCGAAGGTGCACATTTTCAGCTGACTTCTTTGGCAAACAGACACGACCATTTTGTTTGTTTACAAACTGCTCGTCAACGAATGTTTTCTAATCGAAAAAAAAACAAATTCTGCAGTTCACCACTTTCGGCCAAGCGAAGCAACTCTTTAGATCTCTGGAGTCTATTTTCTTTCTGTTGCGGTGTAAGTTCTTGTACTTTTTGGAATTTCAATGGCTTTACCCCGAGCTCATTTTTCAATATTTGCCGAATGGAATATTTCGATATGTTCAACCATTTTTCGACCACTGCGACGCGGGTTTCTATCAAGTCGCTTCTTTACTTTTCGAACCATTTCTGCTGATGTTGCTGTTTTTTTCCGTCCACTTCCTTGACGTCGAGCTACGCTACCAGTATCACGGTAACGACCGATGGTACGAGACACAAATAATTTATTTACATTTAAATGCTGGAGTGCTCTAACGATAGCCACTTGTGGTTTTCCAGTCAAATATAAAGAAATCACACTATCACGCTTGAATTCCATCACGAATAACTTTTTTTCTCGAAAATTCTCACAAAAATACTTTTGTACGCTTGTAAACAATATAATGAGCTGTCACTGGAATAATTTTAACAGCTGTCGGACGAGTGGCTTAGAAATGACAGCTGTCTGAAGTTGGTTGCTGTTTTTTCATCCCACCCTATAGTACTCATTTTCAAAAACACCGCATTTTCTGCATCCTACACACTCACTGATCCCTATACCATTATTCAGAATTCTACCTGTTTTTCGACATTATATACCACGAAATTTAGTACTATTTAGTATTTTTCGTATACGATAAACTACGACTTCCATAACCACTGCCTTACCTAATAGATTATTCCAAAATTCATAATTTTACTTCATTCCTAAACTCTATGCCAAATTAAGAACCATTCGGTACCAAATTTAGTACCACATGAGAAAGATTGACACACAGAAGTACACAAAAACTACCTCCTTACATCATGCATACTTTCTAAATTTGTTTACCATAGAGATTTTACCTCTATGCGTTAGAAAAACACTCCAGTCATTCGTTCAATAAAATGGTACCACATTAATTAATTTTCGTACCAGAATGTTACGAAAATTCGAGTACGAATTTTCAAAATCTTTTCTATGCACCAATCATTTATATTTTAAAAATTCCAGCTACATCAACCAAAACTAAATGGTACCCAATTTAGTACCATTTTGTACAATTCTTCGAACACCATTCCAAAAACACCGCCATAGATGAACTCTAGCTCATCATACCTAATATTGGAATTTACGGTAGTATCGAAATTATGGAAAAATACATTTTTTACAATTTTTTCTAGTAATGCATTCTCCAACCCTGCCACGATATTACATGAAAATTGACATACACGGACACAATCTCACAGTCACTCATTAACATCTAATTAAAATGTATTTAAAATTAAATTAACATTTTTAATTACAGTTCGCCTGTGGGATTGCGACTGCGTGTGGCTTTGGCCGACGAGGCGACCACCACCCACCCGTTCCTCCTTTGTCACCGTGCTTAGTTAGTCAAATTTTTGCGATTTAATTATGGCTGGATTGTTGTTGGTTGGCAGACGTTACGTGAGTTGGTGCGGCAAATGGAGCAAACCTGCTAATGTACGTAGGAGTATATGTGTGTCTATGACATAGTGGTGGAGCATTTTGCCGGTGTGTCTGTCTGTCAAATATTATCATTCTATTTGCCATCATCAAAGTGCATATATGCAAAACTTTGTGTCGTCTTTTAGTTTTTTTTTTTTTGTCAATTTTCACATATGTTAATTTTTTTTCTTTTTTGTTACGTGGCAGCGATGGTAGCGCTGGTGGTGGCAGTGGCTTCATTGCATATTCGGTGAAAATGGGAGAGAAAAAAGAAAATATCTTTTTGGTAACATCAGTACCACAAATAAGAATATTCTGTTTGAGTTCCTGCCACACTTTCTTTTGACTGTTGCAGTCAAATAGCATTGGAAAGCACTCAGAAATGCGGGCAATGTCCTTTTGAAAAAAAAAGAAACCTGCAGCAGTAGTTTTGCGTTGAATTCTTTAATTTTATTGAAAGTTTTTGTTCACAGCATCAAAAGTTTGGAAATAATCAGAAAATTTGCAGGCATTGAACGTGACTGGAGGAAAATTGGTATCATATGCAGGTGACAAATGTTGAGCTGTATATTTACTTATATTTTTCTCAGAACATACAATTATGAAATTTGTGCCACGGACAGGCTTATTTA